ACTCATTTCCAGACCTGCAAGTGGATGTACCCCTGCTAATACGAAGACGCATGTGCTTCATGCATAATGGGGCTCCAGCACATTTTACTCACATTGTTCGAGATGCACTGGTTAACAATGAAAGATGGGTAGGTAGGGAAGAACAGGTTACGAGACCCACACGTTACCCCGACCTCATTCCTTTAGATTTTTAAGTGTAGTGGCCACCTAAAACAATTGGTGTATGCAACAGACATTAATAATGCAGAGACGCTTCATCAACGTGTCATTGGGGCCTACGAAACCATTCGACACCGTGCGGGAGTATTGATCTGAGGGGTGCATTTAAAAATAATATTAAAAACGAAATAAGACCTTTTCAGCACACCGTATTGTATGGGTATATATATATATATATATATATATGAAGAAATTTTGAAAAAACAAACAAAAAATCCTTAAATGTAGTTAAATGAAAGAAATGTCGACGTCTGACGTTTCGGATTATTAAACTTTTTCAAGACAATATTTCAAAATACAATTCAGTTCAATATGACAAATACGATGGACATAAAACACAAGTCTTATTCCGAACAGATAACTGAAAATTTTTAAAATGATCAGCCTTCCGTCTAACATGGTCACGCTGTCGTCACATGGGCGACGCTTTCATAACGTATTCCTGAAAGTTTGTGATTATTTTGAAATGAAAAAGAAAAGAAAAATGAAAAGAATTCTATTAGGTTCTAAAATTTTATGTGTGTGCTTGTCGAGCATCAATCTCGCCAAAAAGGGGAAATATTAAAGAAACCAGGTCTCGTATTCACCGTGCGTGAGATGGATATTATACCTGCTTCATAAATCCTCCTGGAGATTTTTATTATGAAAAATATTTTAATACTTTCACGGAATCGAAATCGAAATTATGATCTGCTTTGGTTGTGTGTACAACTAAAGCATTGTTAAAATTACCGAGACGAATATCTCGTTTATGTTCGAAAACACGAGATTTTAAGGACCTACCTGGATATTTTAGGTCACAATTTTTGCATGATATTTGATAGATGCAAGCATCGGATGTAATATGTTGTCTGCTGGGCTATTTAATAAACTACGGATATAGTAGGTAATATAGTAGTTCTAATTTTTAATGCATTTAGATTATGAGAGATACGTTCGGTCAAATGGTTATTTGTAAAAAGATGCGACCAAACGAAATATTATCAGAGGTAGCTGAAATTGTAACTTTCATTGATCTATTTTGTAGTGGCCTTTGAGGTGTCATTTTGCGCTGATGAGTGAATTTTCAACCTTTATTTTTTAGCTCTCTGTAATAATTGTCTCGGATACGAAAGATTTGAAAAGGTATCCTCAATATATGTAAATTCATCATTTAAATATTTTGATGAAATGCGAAATCAAATAGAATCCAACAACAATACCCCTCTTAGTGTTAGTATCATGGTGAGAGTAAAAATGTAAATAGTCATTTTTACATGTAGGTTTACGATATACTTTGAATTTGGGTGCATACGTGTGTGGAAGCAAGCAGAGGACATTTTGTACATAATTTCCTGTGTTGAAGTACAACGATCTCTTTTTGGACATATGTTTATATGGATATTTTACTTTGTTTTGGTGTCAGGAACCCGCCACTAAAGTTTGTAGTATTTTTGGGATTGTGTCTTGGATTGTAAATCTACCGTAAACTTTAAACTTAATGACTCAAAAACGAAAGATTTGGGGACATATGTTTATAAGGACTTTTGTACTTGTTTTTGTGTGAGGAACCGGCCACCATAGTTTGTAAAATTATTTTTGATTCACAAGATATATATATATATATATATATATATATATATATATATATACACACACACACATACACACACACACACACACATACACACACATATATATATATATATATATATATAAATTATTTATTTAGAAAATTTATAACATAAACATGTTATAAAATCACTACAAAAATAGCCATTTTGTTTCAACACTCCCGGTGTCTTATCAAGTGATGATGTTGAATGCAAAACAAATGGTTTTAGAAGTTGCAAATTAATTAACGATCCTTCGCAAGGGGAAAACGTTGTTCCAAAAGCTAGAATGACCAATCAAAATACAAGTATAGAAAAATTCAAAAAGGCTGACAACGAAGTCATGTTATAATAGCTATTCCGATCGTTAAAATACGGGTAAAATTAAAAAAAAAAAAATAATTATTCTAACCAATAATTAACTTATATGATAGAATTTGATATTAAAATTAAAAACTGCCAATTTTAAAATCTAAATTTAATCACTATTAAGTTTCAAATTATAAAATAAAGGAGAAAAGGAGAAATACATATGTTATTCAACTTATTTCTTCGTTGAAATTACGTTAGAATAGAATACTTGGATATATATATATATATATATATATATATATATATATATATATATATATATATATATATATTCAAAGTAATAAATAATGCCGTTTAACTAATGTTGTAAAATAGTCATTCAAAAAATAAATCAATGTAATTAATTGCAAATTCACTTCGCTAACAAATTAAAAAGGTATGAACTTAGTGACCACTTGCTGAACGACACGATCCTTGTTTCTATTAATTGTACAAGGGATTAGATGTTTGGTTCATATTGTTCTCAAGTACTTTCGGTAAAAACAGTCACCATCTTCAGGCATAGATGTTATTTTTCAGGTAATTTCGGATATGTTATTTTTCAGGTATAGATGTTATTGTCCAAGACAAAAATTAATGTGATATTTGTCGAAAGATGTTTTATTATGTTTGTGCTGTTATTAAGAATATTTTTGAAAGTGCAGAAATAGTCCATGTCACGTCAACAGAAAAAAAAAAAAACTCTTACAATAATGGAAATTTTGAATTACTACAATATTCATTTCTGCTTTCGATACCTGACTGACGAGGCAGATTCCCCCCCCCAAGTAAGTTGCCATTTCTTTCTGCAGGAGACCAGTTGCCATCCAAGGCTATAGAACACGTTCTGTCCTGCTATTTACCTATAACTGGTAAGGAAAGGATTCATATCTTTCTGAAGGTTATTAGCCCATGAATGCAAGGGATTCGAACTCGGCTCTCCGATTCCTCAATCCGAGCTGCGGTCCATTACTCCACCGTGCCTCCTGTCATGAAATAGCCAAATCCTAATAATCTTATATTTGTAGCAAGACGCCATAATAATGCATATGTGGCTGCTTCGCACTTACCCCGGAGATTACCGGCCAAATCTCGCCTGACCTCACGCAATAGCTGCTTAAAAGTGATATCCTCTAAATAAACATGTCAGCGTTTATATTTGTGCAACTGATAGTTTTACATCACAAAGAACATCAGTAGATATTTTCCTGCGCGAGGCAATATGACGAAAGCCCCGTCTGGTGGGGCAGGTTAGATTTATCGAGATGATCTTTGTGTTATTTGTAAAAAAAGAAATCCTGATATAAAAATTATTCATGACCAATGTATCTTTGAAAAACCTTCCTTATCGTTAGTAGTCCTGGGTATGATGATAAACTACATCCAGCAGCAAAGCATCTGATCGGAAGGTTGATGCTTTTGAGGAGCGTAGAACCACCTCTTAATTGCTGTTGTTCTCAGGTCCACCCCGACCTAGGGTGGTAGCACCTGGTAGGGCCCAGCTATGAGTAAATAGTGTCCCTCCACCCAAATAAAAACATTATGAAAGTATAAAAATATATTTTTATATCAAAAATACCAGTAATACATTTATTTTACATAAAATAATTACCTACAATAAATATTAATAGTAAAATGACCAACAATATATATTATCTGCATTTGAAACCATGCAATTACGTGCAAAATGAATTTAGCTGAAGCCATAAAATTGCGTATATAATATTTATATTTTAGCATTAAATAACAGATTGAGGTTGATATGCCGCTAAACAAATTCAACTAAACCAACATTTTCTTTAGAATACTGTTATAAAATAAAATAAGACATATCTCGTCTGATTTACAGGTAAATAAACTAACATACTCAATAGCGAGAGTTGGATGAACGGGACAAGGCCCCGTCACAAAATGACCATTATCTTGTTTACGCATGTTCCTTGACGCACAGTGTTTCGAAAATAAAGTGTTTCTATTTTTTTCGACCAATAAAAATGCCTCCCTCCTAATTATACTCGCGTCGTTTTTCGAGCCTGTTAAGCCATAAAAAACGCCATAAAAGGGGTCACACGGAAGTACAACAGGTAGTCAACAGGAGGTCACGGTTAGGCTGAGCGGTCAGCAGCAGCCAGCAACAGTAGCGCCATGCCAACCAGTGAGAACTACTATGAGAGATCAACCCAGATCTTCAGCCGGCCTATGAACTATACCACAAGGTAGCTGTCCCAAATCCACACGTTCCTACTGAAATAAATCACGTAAATCTATTTCTGCTGTTGTTGTATTTCTTTCTTGCAATCATACGCTTGTCTATAACAATACTTTTCATTTTTCTCTTTATGAAGCTTTATATTATTTTTAACTTACGAAGCCTGGATGTTATTGTCCTGACCATGAGATCCGATAAAATATGTGTCTCACTCCAGACCATACAAGGATAGACTTTGCACCCTGCGTCTTTCACAAAAGCCAGGTGCTCGGTTGACCGGGGGGGGGGTGACCTCCAAACGACCGAGTGTAGATTCATCAGTCCAACTGCACCTGGGATAAACGCGTGAGATTGATTGACTTATTTGTTTTTTTACGGCTTATTAGCCCTTTGCAAGTTATTTAAAGCCAGAAAATATTTTTAGATCGTAACTAATTTGGGAAAAAAAAATTAATTAGAGATAAAAGTCCTACTATTTAACCCATAGCTGAAGGGTGAGTGGAGGTGGACTTATACCTTTCACAAAGTTATTTGCACGTAAGTGATTATAAAAAACTCGACCGGTATTGGAACCCGGCACTTCGATTTCCAATTCCATGCTGCTATCCGTTATACCATCCACACAAGAATTACTGCACTCGGTATTCCCAAACGGTCACCCATCCAGGTAATGACCAGGCTCGACATTGCTTAACTTCGATGATCGCATGAGAATCAGTGTTTCAACGTGATATGTCCGTAAGCCTGAACGCATGAGAAAGAACATATTACAGGCAGGTATATAAGCACTCCGACAAAATACACCACAATGACCTGCTAGAACTGCTCAGCAACCTTTGATATATTCGGGAAAGATATTAGAATAATCAAGAAGCAGCAAACGGCATGCATTCGCATCGAGAATGAGCTCAGCGAATATACAAAAATAGAAAGAGGCGTAAGGCAATGTTGTGACTTCTCACCGGACGTATTCAACCTATACAACGAGGCAATTCTGAGAAAACTGGAGATCAAGCCTGGATTCATCATTGGCGGTCACAACCTTACCAACATAAGATACGCAGACGACACAGTACAGATAGCAGAAACGGAAAAGAAAATACAAACGTCCTACAGAAGGTAGCGAAGGAGAGCGAGAAGAAAGGACTAACGTAAACAACAAGAAGACAGAATACATGCTCACCAGTAAAAGGATGAGCCCGAAATGCGATTTGCAGGTGGGGGACACTAAAATCAAAATATCTGGGAGGGGTTTTGATGGGGGACGGTAGGTGCGACGCTGAGATCGGAAGACGGATTGGGATGGTCAAGGATGTATTCCAAAAGCTGGCCTGGGTACTCTGAAACAGAATGATTTCTTTAGTAACAAAGAAAAGAGTACTGAGCTGATACGTTGACATCTGTCCTCCTATACGGCAGCGAATGTTGGTCACCATCCTCTCAAAGATGAAGAAGAGACTCAAGGCAGTGGAGATGTGGTTCTACAGAAGGATGCTGACGATATCATGGACCGAGCCGTGTGAGCAACGATAAGAGGATGCAGACAAGGAGGAAGCTTATACTTAACTTAAGGAAGAGTCTGGGACGCGTAATGAGAAAGGATGGCCTGGAGAATTTGATATTCACTGGACGAAGGGAGGGAAAAGAGACAGGGGAAAGCAACTCATGACATACGTGGCGGGTTTGGGCAGGTGGATGGCGGAGCGTGGTCTGGGAAAGTTGGCAGAAACACAAAACCTGTTCAGACCCACAAGGTATCGGAGGAAGTGTAGGGCCATGGTCACCTATGTCCTGAAAGGACACGGCACATAAAAAGAAAGAAATATAAGCACTCACCCCAGCGAGGTGATGGAGAATTTCTCTCAAACATTTTAAATGGGAATGTAATGACCACTTTTGGATGAAGACCCTCGGCCATACACACACACACACACACACACACACACAGATAAATTGAGCAAGTCTGGAGCTGAATAAAATGTAATATTAAGTCAAATGAATTTTGTGTTCTCATTAAAACCTACAACGATGTTTCGCTACACCTGGATTCGAATCTCTCCATGGTAGATGAGTCAGAGAGGTGACCTCATTACCGTACCAATCTGGTCAGCCGATCCTAGCGTTAGTTATTTTGGGGGAAAGTTTGAAAACCATACCAAAGATTTTCACTGATGGAACTATTCGGAAGCTATCGATGGTTGAGCCAGCAGCAAGTAAGAAGTCATAACTACGGATCACATCAGTTCAAGCACTTTTCCCATGAACTGTAGCTAAGGTCCGTTCAGTTTAATTGCAATATAAGCCACGGGTTGGTTCTGCAAGTGTTGTTGAAATAGAAAGATGTAACAAAGCTGCACTATAAAAAACTGAATTATAAACAAACACACATTCCAGCGTGTAGTGGTTAACACTCTGTAGCAACATAAAAAAAAACGTGAATGAGTTCTTTTTCATGACATCGAAGGCGAGTAAGACATAGATGAGACGTCCATCTTTGACACGAGTGGCAGGGAAGCAAACTAAAATGCACTTAGAAGCCGGCTATAACATTGCATCTTTGGACGGCCACAGGCGAAAGATAAATCAAAGACAGAACATGAATAGTGTGAGAGAGTATAAGGAGACACAAAACTGATGAAAAGAAAAAATAATCACGACATTCTAGACATGTGTACAGAGGCAGGCGTACAGGCGTATATACACAGGCATACGCATACACGCAAAGAAAAATCAACTTAACAGCAATAAGAAAAAGCGCATAAATTATTTTTTTTAACTTAATTTAAAAATAACGAAAATGAGAACATTGACAGATATTTGTTGATATCTCCTGACGAGTGGACCGAACAATTACACAAAAATTCGACTACGAAAATCTGAAATAGAGGTGCTGGATATAACACTAATCAGTGACAAATTTTATATTTGCATTAATCCTACATATATGTGTGTGTGTTTGTGTGTTTGTGTGTGTGTGTGTGCTATGTATTTTGGAAGCAAATAAGAAATAAGGCAAATACTATAAAAAAAATAAAAAAAATAACAGATATTTCTAAATTACGAATAATCCTTCTCAAACAGGGGGGGGGAAATTCCATCAGAGATGTCCAAAGTTCATTTCGAAAGAAACGTACAAGAAATCTGGTCCAAGCTTTCAACTTTTTTAATTTATCAATTGGGTAGGTAGATAGAATCAAATTTTGAAATGGTGTAACAACGCTATCCTAAGTCAGCTTTTACTATTTGATTTTGCCAGTAATTTTTATATTGTTTTTGTCTCCGCCTACTCTGATGATGACTTAAGAAAGTCGAAACCTTGGACCAAATTTTCCATACTTTTCTTCCCAAATGAACTTTGGATATTTTCTTATGAAATTTCCTCCTTTTCTGAGAAGGATTATTCAAAACTTTTGGTAAGGATGCTTTAAAAATCTAGAAAATAGTGTGAATTATATACACGTATAATTATAGCAATGGTTTTGTTAATATTTTGAAATCTGTGGATATTTATTAAATCCTGGGTTCGTCTTGCATAAAATGAAATGGTTAGAGAATAAGGAGACGAGGAAGATTGTGTTGCGGCTATATTTCAAGTAGGGGGGGGTACTTGATTTCCTTGTTTTCAATGTCCAAGATTCCGGATATATATCCGAGTTTAAACAATTACTATTGATGCTGGTGGTAACGCAGAATTACTTCCGGTGTTAAGCAGAGCCAAACTTGGATCAAAATATGGCTTCATATTCCCGCCTTTAATCGATAACGATTCTAAGCGTCTTTATTAATTGAATGAACAAACAGCCAAATATCCCGTGTTGCTGATGGTGTCAAAGGTCAGAAGAAATCTTCACAGCCAAGTGACCGCTATCAATTTTTTTTTTCCCGAGAACAACGAGAGTTGCCGACATTTTATCCCAGGACATTTTCGGTAAATTCACCATTTCGGAGTTGTGGAAGGAAACAAATCAACGTGAATAATGAAAATACTTACTCGCATACAGTCATCAGTGATTTTGATCCTCACTGAATCGCTCACTATTATGACCCTGTGCCAGATTATATAAGCAAATAAATCTACTTAGGATACCCTGCAAAAACAATTTAATCTCCAATTCTATAACTCTTTACGTTAAATAACGTAATAATTCTTTAGCAGACTACGGTAAACAATATCCTCAGCATCCTTCTGTAGAACCATACCTCCGTTGCCTCTTCTTCATCTTTAAAGACACCGTCCAACATTTGCTACCTTAAATGTTTTTTTTCTTGATTTTTTTTTGTTTTTTGTTCCTTATTTTATTTGAAACACAAAGTTGCCATTCTCAAGAGTTTAAAGAATGGCTGGTCACTGTAGGCTCTCATAGAATTCCCCCCCTCCAAACTGACTTCATCTTTGTTTGTTTGACCTCCCATCTCTTTAACCCAACCAACGCATTTGGTCCCTGAAATGAAGACGTATTACAAACACGTTTCACTAAATGACCATTGATTCAAGGTTAGCAAGATTTAACATGAAATTCCTATTGGAAGAACGAAGAGTCGCTTTTTCCATCATGTTCTTTGGATATATATTTTTAAATTTTATTTTATTATTTTCAGTACAGCGTTAGTATTTGAAATAAATGAATTAAACTTTTTTTTTCAAATAATTCTTTCCATTATTCTTCGATTATTCATTTTTTAAAACGGATTTTATTTTTTTTATTTAACTTTTTAAAATTTTCCTTTATTTCAATAAATGAATATTAACCTTTTTTCATATAATTGTATTCAACATTCATTTTTTGATTCAAAATTTATGGTTTTATTTCATAACATTAAAAAAAATTGTCCGGTCATATTTTCATTTGCTCCCGGGTATGCCGTTGCTTAAAAAGGTTGAAAAACACTCCTTTAGATAGATAAATAATTTAGATTTAAAATTTAATCATCTTGTCGTCAACGGAGTGAGAGGTACTTCTATGTGCGGTGTCCTTTCAGGACTCAGGCGATCAAGGCTCTCCACAATTTCCGGCCCTTAGTAAATTTGTCTTTTCGTTACCTCTCCTAAACCTCGTTCCACCATCAATTTACTCAAGCACCTTCTTCTTCTTCTTCTTCTTCTTCTTCTTCTTCTTCTTCTTCTTCTTCTTCTTTTGTGTCATATTCCCTTAGGACGTCGGCGATCATGGCTCCCCACAGTTTCTTGTCCTTTCAGACTCTTAATAAGTGTTGTTACCTTTCTCCACCATCCATTCACTCAAACTCAGTAGGTAGGTTACGCGTTGTTTTACTCCGACTCTCTTGCATTTAATCCGCACTGAGAATTTCAAATTTGCCAAACCCTCTTTCCTCATTATATGCCCTAGAAATTTCAATTTTCTCCTCCTGGCGTTAAGTAAAAGTGTACTTTTTTGTTTCTTTTTTCTCTTGAAATTCTTCGTTGCTCATACGTCCGGTTCATTGTATTCTCAACATCCTTCTGTAGAACTATATTTCTTTTACTTCAAGTCTCTTCTCCATCTGTGAGGAGATTGTCCAGCATACACTTTCATATAGGAGGACTAATATTACATAACAGCTCATATATATATATATATATATATATATATATGCTCTACTTCTGTATCGAGCACTATTTTTGAAAAATAATAACTAAAATACTAAGGGACTTTGGATTATTTACCCTAACCAGTTCCTTCCTATTTTCTATATATTTTCACACACACACACACACACACACACACATATATATATATATAT